AGTGGTCTGGAGTTGGATGTTTCTTTTCTTCCAATGAATTAGGCTCTGAAAAAACCCAAGGAGATTAGTAGCTGGCTGACTAGTTTCTCCTGAGCAATTTTTTATTAAGAAGAGCAGGGTGCTCTGGCATATTTCAAAATCACTCCTGTTTCCTTCCACCTGATGTAAACAGGAGGCTTTTTTTCTCCAACATAGGGATAACTTGTGTTATTATACTTCACATTATTGTGTTTCACAGAGAGTGCATTTTTCTTCCAAACTGAAGATTAGTCATAACCCTGTGTCAAGTCCATCAGTGCCATTTTTCCAAAGTATTTGCTTATTTTATGTCTCTGTATCACAATTTGGTAATTCCCACAATATTTCAAGGTTTTTATTATTATATTGGTTATGGTGATCTGCAATCAGTGATTACAATTTTCCAAAAGCTCAGATAATAGTATTTTTAACAATAAAATATTTTTAAATTAAGGTAAGTACATTTTTTTAGATACAAAATTATTGCACACTTAATAGACTACAGTGTAAACATGCATTTTATATGAACTGGGAAACCAAAAAGTTAATCTGACCTGTTACTTGTGATATGAACTCCATTAGAGTGGTCTTAAGCCAAACTTGCAGTATCTCTGAGGAATGCCAGTATTTATAGTGAGAAAATGGCTGAACTCTTGGAGGTAACATTCACAAAGCACAGGGCCCCTCTATGACTGGAGTTTTTAACTCTCAGAGCTGTCCACACTGAGCCTCCAGAGATTTGTCAATTATAGTTCAGGTTTCCCACTGTCATGGGTGTCTTGGTTCCTGCAGATGTTTCTCCACCAGGATGTTGTGATCCTCTGTATCCATTTGTCTGTTTCTCCATATAGGGGAGCATGGCTTCCCTGTGACTTCATTTCTCTTAAGAACCTAAGATTTGTTCACTTTTCAATTTGTTTAGCATTCTACTCATAAGAAGAGAGGGGCAGCTACATGCTGAACTGGAAAACCTGTCCCTTATTTAGTTTCTTGAAGTGGACACTAAAGGACAAACCATTTATTTGAACTATTTATTTCTTTCTACTATATGTCCTTCATGCTATATATTTAAATATAAGTACTGGTTTAGCTGGATTCCACAATTTTCAAAATATTTTGTTTTTACTTTCTTTCAGTTTATTTCTCCTAATTTTTCTGTTGATTTCTTCTTTGGCACATGGATTATTTGGGAGTGTTTCTATTTTTCAAATAATTTGGCATTTTCTAGATATTTTTGTTACTGATTTCCAATTTACACTGCAGTCAGGTTACATTATGTACAAATGGCTTGAATCTTCTTGAATTACTTTATACCCCAGAATGTTGTTCTCCTTTGCAAATTGTTCTATGTGCTTTGTGAAAGATATATGCTCTGTTGTTATTGAGTATAGTGTTCCTTAAGTATCAGTTAAGTCAAAGTATTTGTTTTATTCAAGTCTTCCATAACCTTACTGATTTTCTGTCAATTTTTTCAATCATTTATTGAGAAACATGTTGAAATCCCTGGCTGTGATTTACTTTGTCTATTTCTGTTTATAGGCTTTTCAGATATTGCTATATATATATTAGTATATTGTAAATGTTTTATTATATGCAAAAATGTTTACTATTTTTCTGTTATCCTGATGAATTGACACACTTATCATTAAAAATCATTGTGATAATGTTCTTTATTATGAAAATTATTTTGCCTGATATTCATATACCCACTAACAGTCACTTGTCATTAGCATGGTATACTTCTTTGCTTTTATTCTTATTTTGCTTGTATATTTATATTTAAAGTGTTTTTCACTGATGAATGGCTAGATGTGAGGCTGCTTTGTTAATATATACAGTTTGAATTAATCCTTCTCTAAATATTTTGTAGGTATATTCAGTTTCAAACCTGCCACCAAAACTAGTTAATAGCATTCATTGTGCATAAAGTTTTTCCTAAGTGAATAAAATTGCACATCTGCAAAAAAAAAATTGTTTTTATTGTAGGCTGCATATAATTGGCATTGCTTTTATATACAATCTGATAATCACTGCTTTCAATTTGCATTGTGAGATGATTTACACTTATGTGATTACTTATATGCTTGGGTTTAAGTTTATACTATCCCTATTATTACAATACATTATTTCACATGTGTGAAAGAATTCTACATTTGTATTTTTTAAATTCTTTTTTTAATGTTTATTTTTTTATTTTTTTAATTTTTTATTTTTTTTACGTTTATTTATTTTTGAGACAGAGAGAGACAGAGCATGAATGGGGGAGGGTCAGAGAGAGAGGGAGACACAGAATCTGAAACAGGCTCCAGGCTCTGAGTGGTCAGCACAGAGCCCATGCGGGACTTGAACTCACAGACCGCGAGATCATGACCTGAGCTGAAGTCGGACGCTTAACCGACTGAGCCACCCAGGTACCCTTAATGTTTATTTTTGAGAGAGAGAGAGAGACAGAGCATGAGCAGGGGGAGGGACAAAGAGAAAGATACAGAATCCGAAGCATGGTCCAGGCTCTGAGCTGTCAGCACAGAGCCTGGTGCGGGGCTTGAACGCACAAGCCGTGAGATCAAGACCTGTGCTGAAGTCAAAATCTTAACTGATTGAGCCACCCAGGCATCCCCCAAACTCTACCTTTGTAATTAAGGTTCAATTAACCAGCTCACTTTGAATTAATCAAAGCAAACTCCTGGGTAGGCCTGACCTAATCAAATGGATTCTTTTAAAAGGCAGTCTAGAGATCAGAGAAAAACTCTCCTGCTAGCTTTGAAAAAGCAAGTTTGCCATGAGTTCCATAGTTGCAAAGAAATTTATTCTTATAACCACCACATGATCTTGAAAGAGGACCTTGGACCTCAGATGAGAATGTAGTCCTGATTAACACCTTGAATGCAGCCTGTGGAACCCTGTACAGAGAACTCATCAAAAACAAGCCTGGACTGGTAACCCAGGGAAATTTGGTAACAGAGTGAAATAATAGGTATACATTGTTTAAAGACACTAGGTTTGTGGTAATTTACGTGGCAAGTGAAACTAATATATGATTATAAAACTGTTCTGGCACTTACAGGTTAATTTAGGGTTTATAGTGTACATTGTTCACTTACCACAATTTACTAATAAATATAAATTCAAGTTTTATTTATCAAAAAATATAATATCAAGAAAGAACATTATAACAGTATATTTTGGATTTCTTCTTTTCTGACCTGTGTGCTATTGCTGTCACACATTTTCCTTCTACATGATTCCCCCATGGTACAGTTTCATTTTTCCACTTTAGACAGTTAATTATCATTTTAAAGGATTTAAGTGATAATTTTAAAAATATTTATTTTATTTTTTTTTAATGTTTATTTATTTTTGAGAGAGAAAGAGAGTGCAAGCCAGGGAGGGTCAGAGAGAGAGGGAGACACAGAATCTGAAGCAGGGCTCCAGGCTCAGTGTCTGTACAGAGCCCGATGCGGGGCTCAAACACATGAACCATGAGATAATGACCTGAGCTGAAGTCGGAGGCTTAACTGAGTGGGCCACCCAGGTGCCCCAGTAATTTTAAAAATCTTTGCATTTATCCATAAAGTTACTGTTTCTGGTGTTCGTCATTCCTTTATTTTGAACCAGATTTCCATCTGGTACCATGCTCCTTCTACTTAAATAACTTCTTTTAGCATTCCTTGTAGTGCAGTTCTGCTGGGATGATATATTCTTTTAGCTCTGTGTCTGAAAAAGATCTTTGTTTCACTTTCATATTTGAAATACATTTTTTTTTGTGGATAAAGAATTCTAAGCAGACAGATTTCTTTCTTTTTTTTCCTTTTACTACTTTAAAATTATTTTCCACTATGTTTTTGCTTGTATTGTTTCTAATGAGTGATCTGCTTTCAGTCTTATCTGGTTTTTTTTCTGTATATAACATGTCTTTTTCCTCTGGATGCGTTTACAATTTCCTACATTTTACTGTTGTTGAGCAATTTTATTGTGATGTGCCTTGGTGTGGTTTTCTTTATGTTTCCTGTGCTTGGGCTTGATTAGCTTCTTGATGAGTGAGTTAGAAGTACTGTGACACATTCTAACTATGCATTATAAATTCACACTCTGAATCAATGTGTTCATGCACTAATATCAAGTTTAAAAGCAAAACCATCCAGAATGTCTCAGAGATTATAATGATATAATACTGAATTTGACGGATATTGAATTTCATGTGATTTGAATGACTCAGTGTTTATTATTTTTAAAGAACTGCTTAAATTCACAATTATAAAAGGAAAATGTGGATTATATACATAAATGTTGAGATTGAAAATAGTATTATAGGTTATTGAACATTTTATTTAATTATCACTGTGTGCCTTGTGGCATTACCAGTAAAGCAAAGTCTCTTTAAATTATCTAGTCATGTACATTCACTGGGAATTTGGGGGAAGGGCTCTTTTGGGTGTAGTACTCTATTAATATGTTGTGATGGTATTTTTTTTTAAAGTTTTTTTTTAATGTTTATTTATTTTTGAGAGACAGAGAAAGAGAGACACAGAACATAAGCAAAGGGTTGGGGGTGGGGAGCAGAGAGAGGGAGACACAGAATCTCAAGCAGGCTCCAGGCTCTGAGCTGTCAGCACAGAGCCCTATGCAGGGCTCAAACCCACAAACCGAGAGACCATGACCTGAGCTGAAGTCGGAGGCTTGAATGACTGACCAACCCAGGCGCCCCTAATATGTTGATAGTCTTAATGAACCTCAAAGACAACATCTATTATTACTATTTAAAACCTAGTATGCACTTTCTGTTTTATGGCAACATAATGAAATCATACAATAAAATGCTTCAAGAAACTTTCAAAACTGGTAGCACTTTATGGTCTGGCAGAGGCTAACCCAACGCTCTTAAATAGCATGCTCCTGGCAGCTGCCCTGTGAGTACAGCAGGGGAGATATTGGCATTCCAGTCCTGCCTACCAGTTTCACAATACCACCTGCCCTGAACATACCTGCTGAGAATGCTGGGGTCATGGAAGAATCCAAAGGTCAGGCTTCTGGTTTTGGTGTAGCTTTAGAGGAGATAGAAAAAGCTTGGAGGGAAATTTTCTCTGTATTTTTTCTCAGCAAAAGGAAAGTATATCCTCTAAAACCCTGTGTAAGAAGTGAAAAAATAAAAAGAGGACATTTATTCTGCAGCTAAAGTAGGACGAAAACACAACTTAGAGTCATGAGTTAAAAGTCAGTAAACATATTGTAGTTCTTTTCCAAAGAGCTTAGTTGAGATAATGGTTCTTTAGGAAGGTGTAAGGAATAATAGTACTTATGATTTGTAAAAGCTGTCATTTGAGGTGGTCAGAATGCAAGACTATAATGCTGAATTGAAGTATAAGACAAACAACAAGCTTCTGAAATCATAAATCCGGCATGCAGTTTTGAGAAGTGAGGTACATTTGTTTTGAGTGGGCTATTGGTGAGCCTAGGCCAGTCTTTGGAATTGAAAGCAAGGCTCATATGACTTGTTATAAATTTTATATGTTTCAGACCTAGTGAGGTTCAAAAGTGAGGAATTTGTTTGCATTCTGATGCAATACCAATTGTATTAACAGATGTTTAAGGATGAATGTTCTAAACCAAAGGCATTTGTTTGATATTTTCAGCATCATTTTTTCTACCCACATATGTCAAAACAATTCTGAACAGCATGCTTTCCAAACTGCTAGTAATTTCTTTAGAGAAATAACTTCAGAAGCAAAAGTAATTAACTAAGCAAATAAAGTTTGTATAAAATTAGAACCTATTCAAGTAGAACAAAATTTTTTTTTTTGTTAAGAGCTAATAAAGAGGGGTCACAGTGATTTAGATTAAATTTCTTTTTCACAACTATTAATATTCTTTGTACTATTATAGGCTACGTATTCTGATTCAGGTATTAATAGTTGTCATAGTCCAACTGTTTCTGTGGTGGAGAAGGAAATGTTCACCTTTTATATTATCTTTTTGAATAATTTTTAAATTTACAATTTTTAGTAAAGAAATAAGCTTGGAGGTCAGCAAACTATACTTATAGAATCAATGTTGGCTTATTACTTGATGTTCTCCAAGGCATGAGCTTTTCTTCTATTTACCCACAGCATAAACTAAAAACTGTCAGTGTGCAGGACCCAGAGAAGAGCAGCATCATTCTGTGGACGACAACCATCATATATACCTTGCAGCAGAAACTTACTGTATGGGTCATTCTCTCCACAGTATCAGTATACCCAGGTCAGGTTAAGCTGTTGAGTGATTTTGGTATCTTAGAGCACTTTTCCTTGTGTGGAATCCTCTTCTTTGTAGACAGGCCTAATTATAGTCATTGACGATTATCCAATGAACAAGTCTTCTAGAACATGTAGATACCTGTTTCCTACCCAACTCCTCAAGAATCCCGGTACCTCTGGGAATCCTGAGAGAAAGAATGGAAAAGAAACAGACTCTTGGCAAAAGAAGTGGACTGGAATTAGTTTTTGAATTCTCTAAACAATGAGTTTGCACAGCAATGGAACTTTAAACTGGTACCTCCACTAACCATAATTCTATAGAGTTGACTGCTTTGAAAGATCTGTAACATACCACACTGTAAAAATACAAATAATTAACAAGATGAGTTATAGAATTTATTGTTTTCTCTCTCAAGTCTAATTCGTTATTAAAATCACAGGAATATTTTTGAGTGTTAATCAGTGTATACATGCAACTTCATATCTCTATGGTAAGTTGGTCATCATTTCCCTCAGTATTTAATTTTTATTGTATTAAATATATTAAATATTAAATGTATATAAAGTATTACTTTTACCTTAAATTCCAAGTTGCAGATTATGTTCTTATTGCATACCAATGCAATGAAATGAGGAGCTATTTCTACTGCTAAAAAGCATGTATTGATTAAAGAGTTATAGCTATAATCATATTAAACCCCCAAACTGTGGCAGATGCTGGTTAAAAAAAAAATGCAGAGGCACCGGGGTGGCACAGTTGGTTAACCGTCCTACTTCAGCTCAGGTCCTGATCATGGGTCCCAGGGTTCAAGCCCCACATTGGGCTCTGTGCAGACAGCTTAGAGTCTGGAGCCTGCTTCAGATTCTGTGTCTCCCTGTCTCTCTACCCTCCCCTGCTTGCACTCTGTCTCTCTCTCTGTCTCTCAAAAAATAAAATAAAAAGTTAAACAAAAGTTTTTTAAATACAGAAATCTCGCATATTCTCACAAAAGATAGGATAACCTCATTTTTCCCCATACAAAACCATTTTTGTAAATAAACAAGTCTTCTGTAATGTGAAGCAATTGCTTTTTGCAAAAAATGATACTTCAGTATAAAAAATTAATTCAGTTCATAGAAGATGGTTAGAGCTTGACAAGTTTTATTCCAAAAATAAATAAAGGTCTGTCACTGTACATTTCTCAGACTCTAGCAATCTTTCACACAAGGTATTATCTGTAATTTCATTGAAAATAAACATGACTACTTTCTACCATGCATAAAGATATATAGTTATATGTTATTCTAGGCCAAGTGAATTATTCTGTGTTACTGATTGGTTTAAATTAGGTAATTTGTGAGAAATAAGGAAATCCTACAACAACAAAGCACATGGATTGCTTCAAAATTGAAATGCTGCTATAAGGAAGCTCACACAGCAAGATGCCTTTCTTTGCACAGTAAGAGACCCACCTTTTGAGAAATACAGTCTGCACAGGTTTATAACATCATGATCTTAAAAAAAAAAACACTTTTCAGAAAGCTGTTCAGTATCTATAGATTCTATGAAGCAGAAGTCATGCTGATGTCTGACAGGTGTGAAAAAAAATTAGGGTTCAGCAGGGCTTTTACATGACCAAAATTTGTGCTGAATCCACATAGCAAATTTGTTGTGTGTTTTTAGTCTTCAGTGGAGAACAAAACCAGTTGTATGCTACAACAGCCCCTCTTTTCCCCACCATACTCTAGAATCCATCTCCCACGTGCTGGGGAAAGGGACATCTTTCTTTTCCATCACTTTAGCAGAATGATGAATTCCCCAATCCAGTGGGATTTACTCTTCAGTTTAACTGTTTAAAAAAAAAAAAAAAACATATTTGTTGTGTTATGTAGGCCCAGGGCCTCAGAAAAACAAACAGGCAAAAGCACAGCAAACCCAAACCTTCCCTGATCTAGGAGTTACGAAACCTGCTCCTGTCATATAGCACTGATCTATCCCTTTATCTCTAGGGTCCTCAGTTTACTCACTTACATAATTACATAGTTGAACGGGGTAACATACTAGCTCCCTAAAAGATTTATCTGATTTTAAAAAAGAAGTTTTTAATCTGATCATTCAGTATTGTCTCTCTGGTTTCCCACAAACTTAAAAGAGTCAGTAACTGACAAAGCTTGATTTACTGTGAAATAGATTCGTAAGATACAATAGCAATTTAATAATCACAAACTACTTACTATATCCTCTATTAATATTCCATTGTCATGTGAAGTAATTGTATTTTATTTTTTCCATTCTAGAAGTGTTAAGAAAATATCTCCATTGAACAAAAATACCTCCCAGTGACAATTTACTTTTTGTTATTATCTGCTCCTTGTTTTCTTTTCTAAATTTTTAGTGATTTTCAGTAAATTAGATGAAATGGTGAAATAGATTGAACCTGTATTGCGATAGCAGTTGTTTCCTTTTTATTCCCATCAAGGTATCTTTCTGTTTTTCTGGTTCATGTAAGCTCACAGCTGCCCCAGACACTACCTAAGAAGAATGCCACTTCCTTATCCACAACATGAAGTTAGAGTCACACATCCCACACTCTTCTTTTCACATGGCTGTCCAAGGAACTACTATTGTTAATACAATCATGCTTTGGAACATTACTTTTCTCACCATCACTACTATTTAGTACAGTTTAATTTGTATTTGGCTAAGTTGGAAAAAAGTTCAAATCTGAATAAAGCATGGCATTCTGTAAACAGACGCTTCAAGTAGTAACACAATGGACAGTAAGATGGGAACAGGGCAAACTAGATGTTTAGCATCAGCAATACAGAAAAAAACAAAGGCTAAAATGCTATTTATTTTTTTGACAGAGAGAAAGAGAGAGCGAGAGCAAGAGCGAGAGCGAGAATTCCAAGCAGGCTCCTCATTGTCAGTACAGAGCCAGGCAGGGCTTGATCTCAGGAACTGTGGGATCATGACCTGAGCCGAAAACAGTCAGACACTCAACCGACTGAGCCACCCAGGTGGCCCTAGAATGTTATTTTAAAATTCAACAATTGGGTATTACTCTATAAATACTGGATACAAAACAATACCCAGGAAAGGCAGGGCAATTTAGTATGCAATAATTAAATTGGTATGTGGCAGAGGATAGAATTATCCTTGAAACAATAAAAAAAAAAGTGTATTGCAAGTGTTGCTTTTTTCCCAATTAATAACAGACGTAGCTTTCAATAAATGTATACACTAATATTTTTCAGTGTAGGAAGTTCACAGTGTAAAGCTGAAGAACTGGAATTATAGGTAATATATTTCAGGAAATAGAAAGGTCATTTTCTCAAAGACATAAAGTAAAACTATACAGATATCTAGATCTAGGAGGTTATGTACTGAGAAAATTTCCACATACACATACACAGCCTGCCCTCTCACATACACATAAGCACACACAAATGTACAAATGTCAGTCTGTAGATAGAGTTAATAAAAGTAGAGAAACAGCTTAACTCAGAGTTCGAGTGGTAATAAGATTAACTTCCAAAGTATATATTTTAGCTTTAAATGCTTGCCAATTTTTAAAATTTTGTTCATTTTTGTAAAGAAAATGTTAGAAAAGGTTTGAACTTACATTGCCTTTTCTGGTAAAATGTGACACACATTAACAATGTTCACAAAACTACTCTGCACCTTAATAAAAGTATTTTATACATAAACTGTTTTAGTGTTTTAAGCCCTGAGAATGCAATTCTCTTCATTCTGGTAATTACTCCCTGGCCACTCACAGATGACAATTTCATTGTGCCTGATCTGATTCTTAACAAAGAAGATCAAATTAGAAATAGTCTTACATTGATAAGAAATTCTACTCCTTTCTTATACAAGTTACATTTGTCAAAGTGAATTGAACTAAATAAAAATGTATGCCAGATTATTTGGAATTTTAAAATATATACTTATTATTTATATTGCTCTCTATTAATTTAGCCATATTATAAATTGAGCAGTTTAATGGATTAACGTCTCCTGCTCATTGAGAATATTAGCAAGAAAAAGATCCACTACTCTTTTAGTATCACAGTTTAATTGCTAATATAAACCAGGATTTATCCTTATTCACATCATCTTCTTGCTTTACTTGATTCCTATGATTGCTGCTTATATCCTGTCAACTTAATTATAATTTCATGCCAACTTCTTTCCGCAATTCTTGCAAGGATTATCAGTTATGTATTTATTTTTTCCATCCAGATGACCCCTGCTACTGTAGCTAGACATATCTAACATTGAACTTCTCACTTCTTTCTTCGACTCATGTATGTACATTTCCTTGAATTTCTCTCATTTCACTTGTACTGCCACTGTCCCCTTGTTTTTCCATATCTGTTTGTGGGGATGACTCTTTCAGTAAACTTTAAGCTTCTAAAAAGAAGTCTATCTTATTCATCTCTATATAACTCATTCTATTGCATAGTACAGTTAAGAACACTGAATCTGGGACCAGACTGTCAAAGGTGAAATCTCAGCTATTTATTTTACTAGTGATGTGATATTGGGCAAATTGATTAGCCTTTTTTTTTTTTTTTTTTTGGTTTTTTTAGTATTGCAAAATAGGAACTACAATAGTTCCACGTCATAGGGCACTATTCAGGATGAATTGAGATAACAGATGTGAAATAAACAGAAAGCACTTAATAACTGTTAATTACATGGGGCGCCTGGGTGGCTCAGTCGTTGAGCGTCCGACTTTGGCTCAGGTCACGATCTCACGGTCTGTGAGTTCGAGCCCCACATCAGGCTCTGTGCTGACAACTCAGAGCCTGGAGCCTGCTTTAGATTCTGTGTCTCCCTGTCTCTCTGCCCCTCCCCTGCTCAGTCTCTGCCTCTCTCTCTGTCAAAAATAAATAAACATTAAAAATTAAAAAAAATAACTGTTAATTACAAATTATTATTGAATTTAGTATTATTTCATTTCCATGCCTGCCACAGTGACTAAACTATACGTACTGAATGACTAAATCAATTAACGCAGTTAGCCAAGAACTAAATTGCAATCATCCTAAAATGTCCTTGACATATTACTGCAAACATCTGTGTTTCAAAGGAAAAGAAACATGTTACTTCAGATGTAAAATTATTAAATTAACAATTGTTTACAAATGATTTATAGTAAAGATGTTCTCTGGTACAAGAAAACTACAGGCCAAATCCTAAAGG